TAATGTGTGTGTGTGTGTTTTCAGGTCATGTGATGATTTAGACCCTTCATTTGTAATAGTCCGTCCCTGCCCTTCGCCACTACAGCAGCAAGTAGTATTAGTAGTAGTAGTAGCTGCAGTACTGTCTTAGTAGTAGTAGCTGTGCTATTAGTATTATCTGCAGTATTGTAGAGTAGTAGTAGCTACTGTACTGTAGTAGTAGTAGTAGTAGTAGTATACATATTATGTTAATAACAATGTTTTTTTTTATTTATGCAGTCTCTGGAACATAACAAGTCCATCGTCAGGTCTTTATCTCTATACTGTTGCAGCATCTTTATGCGATGATATCTCCTTGTATGGTTTCTATCCGTTTTACACATCATCGGACGGTAGGCAATTAAAACATCATTATTATGAAAACACATCAATGGACTACGCAAAATTACATCGCATGCCGGAAGAATTCAAATTGTTCACAGTTTTACATAAATTTGGGTTTATTCGATTGGTTTTAGACAGATGTTCACAAAATAGTAGGAGACTGTAAGTCTCAGCTAAAATATTCTGAATATAAAAAAATAATAATGTTGTATACAATTCTATAATATTTATCTGTGATGAATGAAAATACTAAAAAAAAATATTGTAATTAATAAATTTTCAAATAGAGGAAAAGTGGTCATACTTTAGAAATATCAAACGTTATTCTGATTGTTGACTGATACCAAGCATTATAGTAAATATATTTTCTATTGTTCTGAGAGTGCTTTTCTTTGGGTTTGAGGGCGGTGAAATGAAGTGAGGAGTCAGTTGACCGGTTGCGATTTTCCGTACGAAACATTTACATGAAACTCCACTCTGACCCGACTCGAAAATCTCATATTTCAGAGATCAGGATGAGTTTAGAATGTCATCAACGCGAAAGATAAACGTCTACAAAACAACTTCTGAGATAACGTCGCTGTCTGATTTTTAAAATGCATGGATGTTACCATGCTAATACTAATGGGCCGTTTAAAATGACATAATATTTAATTAGCTGCACGAGTAATAAAAGTGTTATTTGAACTTGAGTTAATACTGTGAAAATGTTTATTCTTTAGTTAGGTCTGGGTTTTGCATAATTACCTAGGCCTAGAACTAGTAAACACTATACGTAATAGGCAGATAGTTTGGATTGGTCATGTATATAAGAGAATGTGATCACATAGTTTAAACAGTTTTGGAAGGCCGGTTTCATGGGAAAGCACAAAGAGGAAGAAAAGTACGTTTCTGCATCAAATGAAACAGGGTGACAAACTAGTTATTTTCAAATTACGGGAAGAGCTGATAATAGGCAGCTCTAAAATACTGGATGCCATAAGACCTGCTAAAGTGGCAGAGAACCAATGAATGTAGCCTATAAATGAGGCCTATTAATTATAGGCCTAGTAATAGTATCTTGATTACAAGGTTTTAAATTAATGCCGAAATGATTATTATTTATTATTATTATTATTATTATTATTATTATTATTATTTGCTGCGAAGCTGCAGCCAATTTATATTCTTGACAGCAATTTGACCTATGAAAGGTCATTGTTTGTCAAAAAACAAGGGCCTAAGACGACTGAAAAGCGAAGTTTCCTTCTTTCGTTCTGCCGGGTAAAATGAATTACTTTAGGCGACGTTTGTACACTAACCAACACGTACCAACGTCCGCATGTCGCGCTAGTCTTATCCTACTCTAGGCCTAGACTAGCTAGGATGGTATATAGGCCTCCTTGAAGGGACGAAGGTCCCAATGAAAAACAACGTCGCTCCTTGATAGATAACATTGTTTATTTAACATCACAATAATTCATTATTAGACCTATACTGTAGTTGTTTTTTGAATTGTACTCCACAAATCTCAGCCGATACCTCGCACAACTCGAGTAACGTCTCGTATATATTGTCGTGACGTCATGCTCGCTGGCTCACACTTGCGATGTCTCGCACTTGTAATCAAATAATACGCTGGCTCGCACTTTGGCAACACTCTTTGGCAGTCAACTCGCCCCTAGAAAACCCGCCCTTGGAAACTTGCCCCATAAAAAAAATGTACACTTCCTAGACCATGCAGTCAAAATAAAAATACCTTTGGTAATCAACTATATTTTCCATATACATAGAAATTTTTGAAACTTTATTTAAAAAAACTTAAACCATTATTCACCACTATAGACACTTTTTGACAAAAATGAAAAATTACGACTTTGTTACCCAATGAGAAATGTTCTAATGTAGACAATGGGTCGTGTCTCATATTATTTTGTTATATTTTTAATATTCATTATTTTCACTCGACTCGCATAAATAATTTTGTTCGAAGAACATTTATATGCAGTTGTACTTCGCAGCACTTCACTCGCAATTTGCAATTTCTTGTATTATTATTAATTATGTTACTAAAACCTACCTTAATTAAGGGGAACTTAGACAATGGAAAAATTGGGGAAATAACACAAAGGGTTTCCATTTCCCTAGGCCTAGTTATTAATTATAGACCTAGTAGGTTCTTGATTACAAGGCTTAGGCTAATTTGCAATTTCTAGTATTATTATTAATTATGTTACTAAAACCTACCGTACCTTAATTAAGGGGAACTTAGACAATGAAAAAATTAGGGGAAATAACACAAAGGGGTTCAAATTATTATTATTATTATTGTTATTGTTATTATTTCATATTAATTAAATTAAAAGGTTTTGGCAAGTTCATTAATGCCGGAATGATATATTTAATTTTTATATTATTTAATAATATTTGTCCTATATGCACTTTCCCATTTTTTATGTCATGCTTCAAATTTTTTCCCCAAAATTTAAATCAACATCATATGAAGCGTGACTGTTGGTGTCAGGCCTAGGACACTGGGGGACCTAGGCCTATTATAGAGAGGGGCCTAGATAAGAATTATTGTACCTCAGCCTGTAGTAGGCCTATATCCTAGTTTATCTTCTTTTTCTCTAGCCTTTGGTATTACTGTACATCTACGACTGGTACTACACTTTATACGACTAGCTGTTGTTATTGTAGATATTATACTAACATTTAATAACATACAAGAATGTCACAGTTAGTTACACACGTACATCCCATAAATCCTACCATAGGTAAACATAGAAAAAGAGCAATAATAGTAAAACTCGAGCGTCACGACATAGTGAAGTGCCTGCTCTTGTTCCTCGTATCGAACTCGATTCGAGTCAACCGAGATGGTCCGATTGGAGTTTTATGCAAATATTTGGTACGGAAAAATCGCTAAACGGTTCCACCGCTGTGACCAGTTCGCTGAAATACTACCGGTACTACATACTAGCAGTTTCTAATAGAAAGTAAAATGCTGCAAATATGCAATTCATGTAAATACTAACAGATAATTCAGTACATATTAGGGTGTAATGATTTTTAGTTTTAGCATTAAAGGTTGGTAGAAATGTATGATTTGGTGACTTATAAGAATGGGTTTCAAATTTTTTTTTTTACAATGCTACAAAACAACATAATAATAATTATACTAATAGACATGTTAGTAGTCGATCTTGTTTTAATGTTAACCACAAGGCTTCACAGTATTTAAATATGTAAAAAAAAAAGTATTATCCACAATAGCCTGCACAGTATTTAAATCTGTATCAACAAAAAAATATTTAAAACTTTTTAATATTTTCTCAATATTTAAAACTGTTTAAAAAAAGTGGCTAAATGAAGAACATGCCTCACAGAAAATAAATCTGTTAAAAAAATATTGTTTATGCATATCGTGCTTATCAGTAATAAGATCTTTAAATAAAATAATGCTTTATCTACAATATGCTTTTCAGTGTTTAAATAAATGCTTTATCAACAATATGCTTTTTAATATTTAAACTTGTTTAAACACTACAGTATTTAAACCGGTTTCGAAATAGTATCTTCATCAGGTAAATTCATTCATTTCATTTCATTTATTTCGCCTTTTTTTTTATCATAACAATACAGTAAAATATTCAGAAAATTCTAAAAGGTAATCCATGTTTCCCCCAAGAGCCGGCAGGATTACCAAAAAGTAAAATAAATTACTGTCTGAGTGGCTCTCCAAGCAATGGGGAAACATGGACTAGCAGTATAAATACATTATAAAAATATATAAATATATATAAGTGTGAAAATACAAAAATAATTAACAATTAAAATATGTTCATTACTTATATTATTATTGTTATCATTATTATTACTATTACTATTATTATTATTATTATTATTATAGTCTCTTATACACATCTAGATGTGTATAAGAGACAGACAGTATATTGCCTGGTCTGGGATTGAGTCACTAAGTCATCTTGCTCTAAATTCGGGTAAAATGACCGACTATTGTATAAAAAGGGGAAAGATGACCCATGTATGTACTTATAAAAAAAATGTAATATTTATGTACATTAGAGTTCACTTTTAGCTTGACTTGGGCATAGGCATATCTGAGATTCTCTCATTTGTAAAAATGTTCTTTTAGCTTTCTGAGAAATAAGTTAATGTTAAAGAGAGCAGCATCACGTACTTCAAGTGGAAGAGTTTCCCATACAATGGGAAAATAATTGAAAGCAGAGAATTTAAATGCATTGGTTCGGGCAAAGGCATGCCTAAAACGCAAATCATCAGAGTGTCTAGTGTTGATCTTAACAAATTCCAAACAGTTTAAATGACGTAACTCAGATAATTTCGTCATCGGCCGATGTCATCCGATGACGTGCACCCTCTGTTGGTATTTGAGGTCTTTTCCGCGGGGTCCTTTGTTCCCTGGGTTGGTGTAGAAGGTCATCGTAAATACGTGATAGCTTGTAGGCTCCTTAACTCCATTCTTAATAATTAGAAAGAACATTCTTCACGATCTGATAGTGTTTTAAATGATCATATACGAAATTGTGAGGCATTCCAATATTTTTTAGGTTTACTTGAAAATGATAATGCAGCCTGTAATGTATAAGTAATAAATTAGGTTTAATATTTTCTAATAATAAGATTATTGACAGTTCGCAAAATTGGTCTAACAGTATACTATTGTTTAAAGAATCGTTTGCTATACGTAGGCTACACCCATTGTTTAACAATGGGCTGAAAGCTTCAAATGAGCTTCTTTGTTTTTGTAGGTAGCTTTGATCAGTAGGATAAGAATGCTTTGATCTTTAGTTTATTCATAGCTATGTCACCTACTAGAGGTAATGTTTTGATTGGTCAAAAACACTTTTGGTGCATACAAGCTTGCAAATATGGATAATTTTTCATTCCTGATGATGACATAATTAATGTCGAAATATTGAATCCCGACACGATGGCGTGCATTTCGATACTTGGAATATGTATTATGCTATCTTATAGCAAATGTAATTATCAATAAAATTTACCGGTATGCTTTTATATTGTTTTCACATGCACTTGCGGTCTTGAATGTGTACTATTTTCTAAAAATTAACAACACATTTTCGTCGTCACGATGACCTTTGCTGAGGTCGGAGGTCGCGCCCCCGAAACCCTGGCTCCCCGCATCACAAGTGCCCCGTTCGATACGGAAAAATGTGCAACACTGTTGACAGGCGTAAACGAGCTAGTGAACAAAGGCGCAGCGCCCTCTTACAACGGGAAAATCTCGTACCTGGGTTCGATTCAACGCTTAACAGAAAAGTCGTCGGCGGTTGGCATCCACCCCCCCCCCCCATTCCGAACTTACGGTATCTAAACCATGTTATCGTTCCCAGCAGATGACGCATGGAGAGAAAGAGGAAAAGGTAGAGGAAAAAACAAGACAGAACCCAGCCTGCCTGCGGCTGACTTGGTAATAAAAAATAATAAAATTTGATAGGAAAGTAGCTATATATATATAGTAATTGATCGTCGTCATATGGAGTATCAAAATGCCATTACTATTTACAACAAAGTGACTTACCTCTAATTATCATAATATGATTTACTAATTTTCATTATTATCCATTAATAAATGAATGATTTGTTAAAGATTAATGAAGATTCAATATAATTTTATTTAAAACCCAATAAGTGATATTAGAATGAATGCATTGGTATTAAATTCGAAACGCATTTTCTATATCAAATTTTGCCATAAGGCAGCATCTGCCGAAATACATGATAAGTTGTGTGATATTATAAATCATCTATATATTTTGTGGTTAAAAAACAGGCAAGCTAACTCATTTTACATTAAACCTGCTACAATTAAAGAAATATCTGATATAATCAGAAATCTAGACAAAAATAAGAGTTCCTGATATGATAATATATCTCTAAAAATAATTAAAAGGATTTCAAGTATTATCGTAAGCCCACTAGTCCACATTATAAACTGTTCTTTAGAAACTGGCATTGTTCCCGATAAACTAAAGATTGCTAATGTTATCCCCCTTTACAAAAAAGGAAAACAAGATGAAATTACTAATTACCGGCCGATATCTGTGCTACCTGTTTTTTCTAAAATTTTCGAAAA